GTTCTGATTAATCTCCTTTGTCAGTGTGTCCCTTGCCATTCCCTATCACTCCTCCCTGAGAGAGACTTCACCCTGATTCATAAGGAAAAGGGGACAGTGTATTCTCTTAGCTACTTCCTGCTGAAAAGGGACGCTGTGGGTATGCATTTCATTTTCTTTTTGATGGTTTCCAATCTTCCTAGATTCATATTTTGAACATTCTATGTTCTGATTATTAATGAATGTTTGTAGCTAGCTGTTTCTTCTCATTTTGGATCATGCCACACCAGCAAATGATAAAGTCCCCAAAAGTTTTACTCCAACTCTATGTTACAGCTTAAGGGCTGAAGGCTAAAAATTGGGCTGCTAATAAAAAAAAATTGGTGTTTCAAACCCACCAGCCAGGCAGCAGGATAAAGAGAAGACTGTCTGCTTCTGTAAAGACTTCCAGCCTCAGAAGGCCCGTGGTTTCTGCTCGGTCCTATAGGGTCCTTATGGGTAGAAACAGTTCACCAGGTCCTTCTTCCTAGTCTGTTCTCGGTCTGGAAGCTCTGCTGAGTCCTGGATGACCCTCCTGCTTATCTGAAACACTGATGCTATAGCTTCCAGCATCCCAAACACCCCCAAGCCAACACAGTACAACCACCTGGCAGATTCTTGGTAGAACTTGGGTGCTGTACCAATCAAAACCATTTCTAAGATGCATTTAAATACTTCTTTGTTTAAATATGACCACCCTACCTTGTGCTGCTTGAAAAAGTCAGAGTCCGTGGCAGATAGTAAATGGTTGCCAAAGGTGGGATATGTGCCCTAGCCCGGTAAGTTTATCTTGGGCAGAATATTTTTTCCCAGTTCTTCTTTTTAATTTGTTCATTTTTTTTCTTTCTCTTTTAAATATGTGTGTGTATGTACCATCAAATAAGATATGACTGGTACAGGAGGAGATTGTCCCTCCTTCTCCAGCAGAGAATCTGGCAGATTCAAACTGTGTACCTCTGGATTGCAGTGCAGCTTCTTGCCACTAGGCCGGCAGAGCTTCATTCATTCATTCGTTCATTCATTTATTTATTATTGTTGTGTACCATCAAATCAGATCCAGCTGGCACAGGAGGACAAATTATCTCAT